TTTCTGCATAAAGCCTCCCTTAGGGAATAAACTTTATTTTCTGTTTACTTTACAATCTTCCATGTCTGCTCTTGTCTTTCAGGCCCGCAGTCTGGTGAGACGCATGTACCATCATTATGTGTAGAGGAGAGCTACGAGATACTCAGAGGAGTTGATGGACTTCACAAAGTCTTTTTTTTTTTTTAAAGACTTATTTATTTATTATGTTTACAGTATTTTATTTGCATGTATTCCTGCATGCCAAAAGAGGGCACCAGATCTCATTACAGATGGTTGTGAGTCACCATGTGGTTGCTGGGAATTGAACTCGGGACCTCTGGAAGAACAGTCAGTGCTCTTAACCTCTGAGCCATCTCTCTAGCCCAACTTCACAAAGTCTTAAGACAAGGGCAGAACTAAGCCTCAAAAACAGGTCTTCTGGGGTGAAAGTCAGCTCTTTTCCAGAGCTGCTGTCTGGTACCTGGCAAGAGGTTTCACTTCAAGTTTTTTTTTTTTTTTTTTTTTTTGGTTTTTCGAGACAGGGTTTCTCTGCGTAGTTTTGCGCCTTTCCTGGAGCTCACTTGGTAGCCCAGGCTGGCCTCGAACTCACAGAGATCCGCCTGGCTCTGCCTCCCGAGTGCTGGGATTAAAGGCGTGCGCCACCACCACCCGGCCACTTCAAGTTTTTACATTTAGCCATTTTCATTCCTTCATCCATCCATTCATGTGCATGTGCCATAATGTGTGTGTGTGTGTGGAGGCATTGTGCATTGTCTTCTTCCCCCATGAGGGTCTCAGGGACTGAACTCAGGTTTCCAGGCTTGGCAGCAAGTACCTTTATATTTATTGCTGTTCTCCTGCTACTAATGTAGCCATTGAAAAGTAATTTGAAAGGTATGGACACTGTGGTGGTTTGAAAGAAAATGGTCTCCAAAGGGGGTAGCATTATTAGGAGAGGTGTCCTTGTTGAAGTGGGTATGGCCTTATTAGAGGAAGTATGTCACTGTGGAGTCGCTCAAGCTACACCCCGTGCCTCAGTTCACTTCCTGTTGCGTGCAAAAAAGGTGTAGGACACTCGGCTACTCTTTTAGCACCATGTCTACCTGCATGCTATCATGTTGCACCATGATGATAATTAACTAAACTTCTGCAAATGTAGGCCACCTCAATGAAATGTTTTTTCTTCATAAGAGTTGCCTTGATCATGATGTCTCTTCACAGCAATAGAAACTGTAACTAAGACAGATACCTAGCTTTAAAACATCCTTAAATTCTTAAGGTGGCAACAAAGGCCTGATAACACACACATGTAAAATCTAAGCTACTTATGAAGCTGAGGCAGGAGGATGATAAATTCAAGTGTTCCTGGGGTATAGAGTGAGTAGAAGGGCTTTCTGAAAAGACAATGAAAAAAAAAAGTAAAAAGAGGGCTGAGAATGCAGTTCAGTGACAAGAGGGTTGCCTGGAATGTGCAAGGCCCAAGATTCAGTCTTCAGTACAGGAGAGAAAACGAGAATGTAAGAGAGTGAGAGCAAGAGACAGGTGTGTGTGTGTGTGTGTGTGTGTGTGTGTGTGTGTGTGTGTGTGTGTGTGTAGGGTGGAGAGTGGGAAGACACATACAATCCACAAGAGTGAAGAGGACTCTAGGTGGTTATGACATGATAACTAGAGAGAAAACATGTGTTGCAGATTTATAAATAGAGCACAGAAGAGAAGAAAAAGGACTCTGGTATATGGAGTTGGGGACTTCAAGGATGGAAGTCACCTATGAGTCTTGAAAACTCTGGGAGGAGCTTTGGGCTTGGAACTGAAGCATCAATCTAAGATGTTCTATAGCCTAATAATAGGCCTTCTAGAAAGAGAAAATGTCCATACCACGGGAATAAGATCTGCCCGGATGAAATGAGAGCCGAGATCTTCAATTCAAAGGAACTGCATGAGTCAGAGTCCAGTAAGATAAACAGCAGAGATCCATTGTGAAACTTTGGAAGATCAAAGGTTTAAAATGGGAATTTAATATTCATGATCTACACTTGAAGATGTGTGTCAACAAAATGAAAGTATAAAACCCAAAGGAAGATGTGCACTTGGATAATAAAGAACTGACTGTGTCACTGAAGACTGCAGGCAGGCAATCAGAAACTCTCTAACCTTGGAATGTCATGCTGAACAGGAGTGTTTGTGTGTGCCTGGCAATCTTTGTTAGCCAGACAGTAATAGTCTGCTTTAGGGTGAGAACTTTGTGTCACACTTAGTCTTTGTTAGGGTTTCTATTGCTGACACCATGACCACAGCAAATCTTATAAAGGAAAACATTTAATTGGGGCTGGCTTATAGTTTAGATGTTTTGTGCATTGTCATCATGGTGGGAAGCATGGTGGCACACAGGCAGACATGGTGTTGGAGAGGTAGCTGAGAGTTCTATCTGAATCTGAAGGCAGCAAGAAGAGACAATGAGACACTAGATGTAGTAAACTTTTCCACTGAACTTTCTTTGAGTTCAGCCCTCAAATAATGAAACAGAGATAATTATGAAAGCTTGGCTTATACCTGAGGCTTGTCCCACTACCTCTTATAACTTAAATTAATCTGCTTTTATTAATCAATGTGGCTTTTTACCTTTCTTTCATTCTGTATGTCTGACTTGTTCTGCGTCTCCTGGCTTTTCCTCCTTTCTCCTTCCCAGAGTCCTCTCTGTCCCTGCAAGACCTGCCTAACCTCTTTCTGCCTATTTATTGGCCATTCAGCTCTTTATTAAACCAATCAGAAGGTGCCTTGGCAAAGACACATCTTCACATTGTAAGCAAATATTCCACAATAGAAGACCGTCTATCTACCTAAAATATATCTGTTTGACCTTGAAAACATACCTAACATGGCCACAAACTGATTGTTATAGATGACTAATTTCTAACCAGCATTTTAAAAAATTTTCCAAATAGTTCTCAATGACTAGAACTTTGCATTACATTTTTAAATGAGTTGCATAGGTATAATACTTTAAACAAGAGTAGAAAAATATATACTGTATGTTCTAACACAAACAACCTTAAATTTACATCAAGATACAAAAATTCATACCAATTTAAAACATTTGAGACTAGTAGTTGCTTCTTTTAGCTAAAAAGTAGATTCAGTAATTTACTCCTTTTCCTATCACTCCTACACCCCCCTTTTTCTTTTCAGAATGAGATTCCTAAATCTAATTTCCTTTGCTTAATTTCTTTCCTGACCATGACCAATAACAACTTGCAATCAATCCCCTTAAATGATGGCAAACATCCATAACCCACGTAATGACCAAAAACAATCCACCCCACCTCTTGGGAATATGTGCATTGTGTTCTCTAGATTGCTTCCTGTTGTCTAGGGGATAACGACATCTTTAGGGGACCCTGAAAAAAATGAGATAATGGTGAAGTCCTGGGAGAGCTAGTTGTTGTCCAGTCTTGGTGTGATGGGAAAGTGCAGGGCTTATATGAGGTCCTGGCTGGAGTAGTCTGTGAAGCTGGACCCTCTCAGCTAGCAGATTTGAAGTTTTCCTGAATGTAGATTTTTGAGGAAACTATAACAGAGGCATTCTAAGGGGATGGATTACCTGGGCTACTTGTCTTCATTGGTATCTGGTCCTTTTTTTCCCCCTAAAAACACAAACTTTTTTTTTTTAAGACAGGGTTTCTCTGTAGTTTTGGTACCTGTCCTGGATCTCACTCTGTAGACCAGGCTGGCCTCGAACTCACAGAGATCTGCCTGGCTCTGCCTCTCAAGTGCTGGGATTAAAGGCATGCACCACCACTACTGCCCTACAAAACACAAACTTTTAAAGGTAACATGCATATTTGCATTAACACAGGTATAGAATGTATGGTATGCACAAAAAATCAGCTAAAGATGTTTCTCTGTTCTATGTTTGAGCAGGTAAAAGATATCTGTCAACTTTATAAGTCTGTATAACCAAACTGTAATACAAATCTCCATCCATGCCATATGAAAGGATGAGTCATTAGGACTCTGTGGCTAACAAGATTTATCATGTCTTATCCAGTCTCAGAGCTGTTCCCACAGTAGAGAGATCAGCATATATGTCACCTGTCTCGTAGTTTTTCTTGGTTTCTTTCTTCATGTCTGTAACCAAGATTTTCAGGAGATTTTTCCATCAAATCTGGTCTTTATTAATTTTTCAAGAATCCATAACTTTTTGTTTTCTGTGGAAACAAAGGCATAATTTCTCCCCCAGTGCGACACATTTTCTGACTTCCACTCTGAGGTTAAGACATCCTTAAAATATATAGGCTAGTTTAATTTAGCAGTTTTTTTGTTTTATAATCCAATGTCTCTCAACATCTGCTATTTTTTGTTCACTAGCATTCAAAAAATTCAAAGTCAACAAAGCCACACCTTCTAATAGTGCCACTCCCTATGGACCTGTAGGGGCCATTTTCTTTCAAACCATTCACACACTTCAAGGGACTGGGAATAAAAGACTAAAACAAGCCATATAGGCAGCCAGTTTTGTTTCTGTAATGGAGCCTCGGTGAACACTTTTTGGGCTGAAATAGTCTGTACTTACTGTCACTCACCAGTGGTCAGGAGGTAATGACACTGACCCCTTAAGCAAGGACGAAGAAGCTCTGTATCCAGGTGGCCCTAGATGTCACTCTGCTTTCCTTCCTCTGGCCAATTTTAACCAACTTCCTTTCTTGAAAAGAATCTTATTTTACCTCCTTTTAAATTTACTTATTTTTATTCTTTGGCACTTTTATAAACAAATAAATAAAATAATTTTACCTCCATCCCCCTTTCATTTCCCTCCCACTCCCGCCAAACCCCTTTTTCTTCCAACTAGTGCCTCTGCAGTGACTCTTAATCATGAGTACAACACTTCAGTGGAGTCTTTGAGATTTTTCTAGAAAACCATTAAATTGAAGACTATAGTTTGGAGAACTCCCAATTTTCCCAATTGTGATGTCACAAATGAAGGAGGCCATTTTGGGCTTATGCTCTTTAGGTTTGCAGCTGTTTAGGTCTTCTCGGGTAGACAAGGAGTAGCACTAGAGATGAGGAGAGAAGGAGGAACAACCAGGATGACCACTGGGCACATCTGGAAGGACATCTGTCTAGATAAGGGCAGAGCTTGGCTCACTCACAGAAGAGTTTATTCAAGGAAAACACAAAGTACATATCTGGTAGGTGTTTAGATACTAGAATATGGTTCAAAAACCTATTTTAACCTTATTTTAATATGGTTTAAAAACAAAAATAAACAAACAATCAAAAAACAAATGACTGGAACTCTAGATAAATCAAGTCACTTCACAGGAATGTCATCTTCTCAATATGAAATAATTTAAAACACGATTCAAATTTTTAGCAATTGGTAAACTATAAGAGGGGACTCTTTTTAACCCAGTGTTTGTGTGCTATCTTGGAGTGACACAAGAATCATGAGATCAGAATTGTCCCAATAGAATGGTATTATCAGCACTCTGATGTTACCATGAGTAACTTGCTTAGTCATAATAATGCAACTTCATTTATTGGCTGTGGTAGTTTGAATGAAATGTGGCCTTGTTCAAGTAGGTATGGCATTATTGGAGGAAGTGTGTCCCTAGGGGTGGGCTTTGAGGTCTCAGAAGCTTAAGCCATGCCTAGTGGGTCTCACTCTCTTCCTGCTGCCTGTGGATCCAGATGTAGAACTCTCAGCTCCTTATCCAGCACCATGTCTGCCTGTGTGCTTCCTGCCATGCCAATAATGGACTAAACCTGTGAACTGTAAGCCAGCCGCAATTAAATTTTCCTTTATAAGAGTTGCTATGGTCATGGTGTCTCTTCACAGCAAAAGAAACCCTAAGGCATTGGTTTTCAACTTTTAACAAATCCAAGCCATAAACATGGAGGAATTAATTGTGATTAAGAGCAGAGTGTGGGTTCTTTCAACTTTGATGATGTTAAAACTCTAGCTGATAAATCTGGGGAGATGAAAGGCAGGCAAGAGAGGAGTGAGCAATTGTGAAGGTACAATTACCTTTATTTTACAAAATGAGAAGTCAAAGGATCTGATGAAAAGCTTAAATATTGCAAAAAGAGTGACCCTGCTGAGAGATGCAGAAGACATTGTTTGGTCAAGACAAAACAAAGGAAGATGATGTAGTTCAATCTACACTGTAAACAAAAATATAAACGTCTACATAGATTGTAGACTCTTTACATGAAAATAATGTAAAAAAAGGCTCATGTTCTGTATAGCTACTGATTTTATAAAAATCATTTTTTTTAGTATTCTGAATATTAAGAAGCACCAGCCTTAACCAGGCATGAAGGTTCACACTTGTAATCCCAGCACTCTGAAGGATGAGGCCAGCCTAGGCTACACAGTAAGATGCTGTCTTAACAAATGGACAAAAAGAAACAGCATTCTTAAACTTAAGGACTGTGGATTTGGTTATAATAAAGTTAAGAATTTTAAAAGTGAAATCGTAAAAAGGTATGCCACAGATCTGGAGGCATTTGCAACGTACACTTTACAGCTATCTGTTACAGCCAGTAAATGGTTCACATCCAGAATACTGAAGAACTCATGAAACTCAATAAAAAGGCATACCCAATGGAAAATAGGCAAATAGACTCAACAGCTACAACTAGACAAAACATCTATTTTGGACTCTGTAACTAAGAGCTCTTGTCTTCTAGAGGACCCAGATTTGATCCCCAGTGAATACACAGCAGTTGACAACTGTCTGTAATTCCTGTTTCAGGAGAGTCAGTGCTCTCTCCTGGCTTCCAGGAGCACCTAGCTTGCACATGGTGTGCAGACATGCACGCAGGCAAAACACCCATACAGATAAAATTTTTAAAATGACCATAATAGCAACGCGTGCGCGCTCGCGCGCGCACACACACACACACACACACACACACACACACACACACCGAAACAAATAAACACCTCCCCAAAACAGGCTATGTTAAATTAATAAACAAGTGTGCTAAAGGCTTAACATTATTAGTCACCAGAGCAATGAACATTAAAATTGCAAAGAGTGGCTGAAATTAAATATGCACCGAAAAGCTAAGAGTTGCCCAGGGCATGGCGCATCAGACACCCCCTCTCCCTTCTGCTGCTGCTAGTGGGAATGGAAACTGTCTTAACCAATTTGGAAAGCAATTTGGCATATCTTCTAAAAATAAAGATAATCTGCTTTAAATAATAAAGATTCTTTCCAGGCTCAGTAAAGTATAAGGAAACTTATTACAACTTCATTAAAAATAGACTAAACTAAAGAATTAGCAAAATGTCCGCTGGTGGGAGGACAGGAATAAATGGTGGTGTGATTCTACAGTGGATTTCTATACAGCAATGAGCACGGCTTATATAAAACTGCATGCTACAATATGAATGGATCTCACAAATATAATGCCAAGCTAAGAAATGTCTGGGTTATGGGTTGGGGAGATGGCTCAGTGGGCAGAAGCACTTGCTCCATCAGCCTGATGACTTGAGTGAAATCTCTGGAGAGAATGGACTTCCTGAATTATTGGTCCTGTTACCTCCAGTCCTGAGCTTCTGCATATTCTCTCTCTCTCTCTCTCTCTCTCTCTCTCTCTCTCTCTCTCTCTCTCTCTCTCTCTCTCTCCCCACCCCTCTCTCCCTCTCTCTCACACACATTACAATTTTAAAAATCAGTTTTAAAAAATCTGATAAAAAAATGGCTCATGATTCTATTTATGTATAAAACTCCCAAAGGGTAAAATTATGATGCTGAGAGATACATTCTTAGAAGACAAAGACATAAAGAAAATCAAGGAAGAGATTCTCCAGCAGTAGAGTTTCACAACGAAAGAACATGGAATGGGTGAAGTGTTAGAGATGTGGGAAGGGACCTCCTAGGGCCAGTGGACCTCTACGGGATCTGTTCCAGGTTGTTGGGGTCAGGGTCAGGTGTTTTTTTCAGGCTCTCAGACTCTGTTCAAAGAACTGAAAATAAGGAATCACACAGATTTATGAAATAGCAGGGAGTACCTTTATTCAAAAGCAAGGCAAATAGTACAGAACAGAAAGAAATATACCACAAGAGAGCTGTGGGTCCTATGAGTAAGAAACAGCTCAAAGACAGTGATTATTGTTTAGGGATTCCTTTTGTGGGGTTCAAGAGAAGGAGTTTGGTTTGTAAAGGTCATTTTGATTGACAGGTTAGGTCATACAATCTTTTTTCTACTGTGCATGTTTTTTTCCATAGTTCATCTGATTTTAATCATATGTATGTTTAATTATAGGCACAAAGTGGTAAATAGAAAATTTAGTCTAAAAATTTACTTGAGGACACAATTGTGTTATTATTCATGCACCCCCAAGCCAGTTTAGGCTGGATTAGCTTTTCTATTCTTTACAACTAGAAACCGTCAGAGTATATTTGAACAGAAATCACCTAACATTTATATTTTCAAAGAATTATTTTATTTTCATTTATGTGCATGTATGTGTGTCTATGTGGAGAAATGTGCACATGAATGTGGTTGCCTTTGGAAGCCATAACAGGGCAACAGAGTCACAGATGATTATGAAACCCCTGATACAGAGTGCTGAGAAGTAAGTAAACCCAGGTCCTCTGTAAGAGTAGAACAGGCTCTTAACCACTGAGCTATCTCTTCATCTCCTAAACGTAATTGTTATGGGTGAAGAAACTTACACCATTGTTCAAAGAGTGGTGCATGTATGGTCTAATGCAGATGGGTGTGTGTGTTTGTCTTACTATTGTTGTGAAGAGAAACCATGGCCAAGGAAACTCCTACAAATAAAGCATTTAATTGGGTGGCTTGATTACAGTTTCAGAGGCTCAGTCCATTATCATCCTGATGGGGAGCTGTCAGGACCAGCCGACCTGTCGAACAGCACCCGAATAGGGGAGTTAGGATTAAGAAAGAAAGAGACAAGAGACAGATAGAATCGGGAGGGCTCTCAATGAATACTGCAGCAGCCCCAAATTTATTTCTCATAGCCTTTTTAAACCCAAAGCAAGTGGGGCAAAAGACTTCCTTACCATGGTTCAAGGAACAATCAAGCGTAAACACCTCCTTAATTCTCAAACTATCTACTAATTTCACCTTTGGCCAATCATCCTGTTACTTGGCCTTGAGGAGCAAAACATCTAGTAACCACACCTTTGGACAATCATCCTGTTACTCAGTTTTAAGGAGCAAAAACAAGCTTGAACTCTCTGACCTTAAGTCAAGATGGAATCAAGTCATGAGCTGGAGTCACTGTGGGCTCCCACAGGGAGCATGGCAGCATGCAGGCAGACATGGTGCTGGAGTAGTAATTGAGAGTCCTACATCTTGCAGCCAATAGAAAATTGACTGAGACACTGGGTGGTATCCTAAGCATAGGAAACCTCAAAGCTCACCCTCAAAGTGACACACTTCCTCCAACAAAGCCATACCCACTTCAACAAAGCCACTCCCCCCCCCAAGTAGTGGCACTCCCTACTAGATTACATTAAAACTATCACAGTGTCCGGTATCACACTATTCAGATAAAGGTGTGTCCTGGTTAGGTTTTTTTGTCAACTTGACACACAAGTTAGAGATTTTTAAAAAGCAGACCCTCAGTTGAGAAAAGTCCTCCATCAGACTGCCTGTAGACAAGTCTGTGGGGGCATTTTCTTGATTGATGGTTGATGTGGGAGAGCCTGGCCCACTGGGAGCAGTGCCCTCCCTGGGCAGGTGGTCTTAGGTGATAGAAGATAGCACATTAGACAAACCATGGGGAGCAAGACAGTAAACAACATCCCTCTATGCTTCTGTTTCAGTTCTCGCTTCCAGATTCCTGGCCTGCTTGAGGCTCTGTTCTGACTTCCCCCAGTGATGGGCTGTGACCTGAGAGTTGTAAGGTGAAATATACCCTGTCCTCCCCAAGTTGCTTTTGGTCATAATGTTTATCACAGCAATAGAAATCAAACTAAGAAAGGATATGCATGCATGGTACATACAGAGAAAGGAGCCAGGTTGCTTAGGGCATTGTTAGAAGAAGGGGTGGTGGGTGAGTAACTAAAAACAAATAAGATCCCAGACTATACTATCTCCTGTGCTTGTCTGCCTCATTTGTTAGGAGAGCTGAAGGTAGAAGGTCATCCTTCTTGGAATTACTTCATGCTGAGTGAGTAGGGCAGAAATAGTCTCTCCTATTCTGTCCTGAAAGCTGTTAAATCTCCCAGGGCCCCATTGGAGAACATCCATAAAATTTCTCAGCTTGCTCATTCAGGGTTGAACAGATGTCTCCCTTGGCATGGTCACATGAGGGTCCGTTTTGTTCCGGATGGCAGCTGTTGTTGAAAGACCATCTGTAAATTGACCTGTTGGGTCTGGGGGGAATAAAACCCTGCTACCATGGTAAGGCATGCTGACAGTATCCAGCTTGTCCAGCCTGGGACCAAAAGACTGTTGCCCAGATTATCAACCACAGTAGCCTCTCAGAGATCACTGATACACTCTTAGACTTCTCTAGGTTTATGAGTTAAAAGCTGCATCCCCTACTTGGAGACATGTGCAAATTCCCTCTTGTCCTGCAATGAGTAGGTCTAAGACTTTCCTATTTCGGAAGACTGCTCCTGCCAAGGAGTGTAGTTGATCTTGAATTTGGGCTAGCCTCTCTTCATTCTTTTACATGGTCCTGGCAGCTTATTTTGATCATTGTTTTCTCCCAGCTGCCAAGATACTTTCCCCAAACAAGCTACTCAGAGTCATTGTCTAGGGAATCAGAGGTGTTGCCTGTGTGTGAACATGGATGCTTTATGTGTTGGGAGGAGCAAAAAGACATTTTCCCAGACCATGACAATATTTGCTGTCACATAGTTAAGCAAGCAAGCACCCCTTTGAAATGTGATAATATTAAAAAAATTGTTGATTATAAATCTAATATAAGTATTGTGAATCATCAGCTTGGCTCAGAAGTATAAGATGTAAAGCATGGTCATCTCAGGATTTGTATGTGGTCAATGATTTTGAGGCCAATATGGGAACCAGATAGCAGGTTGGATACACATTTTCAAGCATGGCTTTGTAGGGTCATTCCTTGTACTGACAAATTGTCACCAGGCCAAGGGGAAATTCTAAGTCATTTTGGCTAGAGTTGATTGTCTAGTCTTTGAAAGTATGAAATACCTCTTTTAGAATCCCATAGGAGCCAAGAGAACTTGTGGTTATATTTAGTGAGGGGGGAAATAGTTATCTTGAGTAGATTTTTTTTTTGTAGAAAGGGAATTCAAATTGGTCAGTCCAGGAAAAGCCTAAGCAGAGTTGGCTCTAAAATATCAAGAGGGATAACGTGATGCAGGGAACAATGCAAAGGAGAAAGTTCACGAAAGGATGTATTTCAGAGTTTCTAAGGGCAAGTTCTGCTGAGTAGTTACCAGCTTAGGGTTTAGACAAGAAAGAAGAATCTGTAGGAGCTGTTAGACAGACTTCCCATGCAGGGATTTGAACCCTCCTTTGTATAGGGAAAAAGGGAATTTAATAGTTGAGTCACAGGTTAGATGTGTGAATAAGAGCCTGTAGCAAAGAAAACATTACTATTTTGAGTTAATTCAGTAGTGGATCACACTTCTAAGCCTGTTCCCAGTTCCTCCTCTTCCTATTACTGCCAATAGCTGGGGTGTTTTGAGGACTGAAACTGAGTGTTTACTTGCAAATAAACCTCTGCTAGAGCTGGATTCTGTGTCTGTGCTGGCCACACATTGTCCCTTCCCAGTATCTGTATCCATATCTCTGTGTCTCTGGGATGAAGCCTACTTGATCATGATGGATGGTCTTTTTGATGTGCCTCAGATTTGGTGTGTGTCTTTTATTGAGAATTTTTCATCTATGTTCATAAGGGAAATTGGTCTGTAATTCTCTTTCTTTGTTGGGTCTTTATGTGGTTTTGTTATCAGAGTAACTTGGGCTTTGTAAAAACAATTGGGTAATATTCCTTCTGTTTCTATTTTATGGAATAATTTGAGAAGTATTAAAATTATCTCTTCATTGAAGTCTGTTACAATTCTGAGCTAAAACCATGTGGCCCTGGCCTTTCTTTGGTTGGGAGACTTAATTCTACTTATATTTTACTGGGGTTATAGTATATTTAAAGTGCTTTATCTTATCTTGATGTAACTTTAGTGGTGTGTATCAGGAATATTATCTATTTCTTTTTTTAAGATTTATTTATTTACTATGTATATAGTATTCTGTCTGTATGCATGCCTACATGCAAGAAGAGGGCACCAGATTTCACTACTGATGGTTGTGAGCCACCATGTGGTTTCTGGGAATTGAACTCAGGACCTCTGGAAGAGCAGCTAGTGCTCTTAACCTCTGAGCCATCTCTGCAGCCCCCTCTATTTCTTTTATTTTCCAATTTGGTTAGTACAGATTCTCTGGATTTCCTAGGTACTTGTTGTTATGCCCCCTTTTCATTTCTAGTTTTATTAATTTGAATATTTTCTCTGCCTTTTAGTTAATTTGGGTAAGGGTTTATCAGTCTTACTGATTTTCTTCAAGAACAATGCTTTGTTTCATTGATTCTTTGTATTTTTTCTTGTTGTTTCTATTTTATTGATTTTTAGTGCTAAGTTGATCATTTTTTGCTGTCTATTTTTGGGGGTATAATTTCTTTTTGTTCTGGAGCTTTCAGGTGTGCTGTTAAGTTACTAGAATGAAATTGCTCCAATTTTTTCCATGTAGGTACTCAGTGCTATGAACTTGCCTGTTAGCGTGACTTTATTGTGTCACATACATTTGAGTATATTGTACATTCAATTCTCATTGAATTCTAGAAAATCTTTATTTTCTTGAACTATTTTTCAATTAGCAGTGAGTTGTTAAGTTTGGATGAGTTTGTAAACTTTCCATTTTTTTCTGTTGTTGTTGATATCTAGTTATAATCTGTGGTGGTCATAAAGGAGGTAGAGTGTTATTTCAATTTTCCTGTATCTGTTGGAATTTGTTTTATGTCTGAATATGTGGTCAGTTTTGGAGAAAATTACAAGAGGTGCTGAGAACAAGGCATATGCTTTTGTGTTTGGGTAAAATATTCTGTTAATATCTATTAGGCCCATTTGGTTTATTTTCAATTACTCCAGCATTTTAGTGTTTAGTTTTTGTCTGGATGACATGTTTATTGGCAAGAGTTGGGTATTGTAGTTTCCTACTACCTGTAACAGGAACTGCTAAAAGGTTTTATTTATTAAAAAAAAACCTGGAGCCAGATATTGGAGTGAAAGCTGAAGGATCAGAGAAACAGAAGAAGCCAGGCACTTTTTTTTTTTTTCTTTTTGGTTTTTCGAGACAGGGTTTCTCTGTGTAGCTTTGCACCTTTCCTGGAACTCACTCTGTAGCCCAGCCTGGCCTTGAACTCAGAGAGATCTGCCTGGCGATCTGCCTGGCTCTGCCTCCTGAGTGCTGGGATTAAAGGCGTGCACCACCAAGCACTTTCTTATCTCTACAAAATCCTCAGCTTCAAGAGTGAGTATTCCAGTTTCTTCATTCCTTATATATCTTTCTCTACCCTGACATTAATTACTTCCTGGGATTAAAGGTGTGTGCACTTCCCAGCACTGGAATTAAAGGCATGTGTCACTCCTGCCTGTCTCTGTTTCCAGTGTGGCCTTGAACTCACAGAGATCCAGATGGATCTCTGCCTCCCAAGTGATTAAGAGTGTGTGCCACCACTGCGTGACCTCTATGTTTAATGTAGTGGCTGGCTTTGTCCTCTGATCCCCATGCAAGATTATTAGGGCACACAATATATCAGAGTGTGTGAGGGTCAGTATATGATTTAAGTTGTAATAGTGTTTCTTTTATAAACTTGGATGACCTTGTTTTGGGGGCATAAATATTAAGAATTTCAGCCAGGTATAGTGGTATACACCTTTAATCCCAGTACTCGGGAGGCAGAGGCAGATGGATCTCTCTTGTGGAATATTTGATCACACCCTGTAAAGATGTGTCTCTGTCCTTCTTTGCTTGCCTAAAACATCTTCTGATTGGTTTAATATAGAACTGAATAGCCAATAGCTAGGCAGGAGAGGATAGATGGGACTTCTGAGGGAGAGAGAGGAACTTGGAGGAAGAATCTGAGAGGTGAGAGATTCACTAGCAAGGCACAGAGGAGGTCAGATGTATGGTATTGAGGAGCTGTAACGAATCACATGACAGAATGTAGATTAATATAAATGGGTTAATTTCAGTTTTAAGAGATAGTTGGGAACAAGCTTAAGCTAAGGCCAAGGTTTCACATTTAATAAAATGTCTGTGTGTCATTCTGGAGCTGGCAGTCCAAAGAAAGACCCATTACAGATCTCTCTGAGTTTGATGCCAGCCTGGTCTACATGGTGAGTTCCAGGACAGCCAGAGCTACATTGTGAAACCCTGTTTCAAACAAACAAAATGATTGCAATGTCCTCTTGGTGGATCTTTTCTTTGATGAGTATGTAGTGTCCTTCCCTATTTCTTCGGATTAGTTTTGGTTTGAAGTCTGTTTTATCAGATAATAAAATGACCACACCAGCTTCTTCTTCAATCCATTTGCTTGGATTATCTTTTCCCATCCTTTTACCCTGAGGAGATATCTACTCTTGATGTTGAGGCATGTTTCTTGGATGCAGCAGAAGGATGGGTCCTGTTTTCACTTCCTTTCTGTGAATCTGTGTCTTTTTATTAGGGAATTGAGACCGTTGATGTTGAGAGATGTCAATGAGCAATGTTTGTTTATTTCTGTTTTTGTTGTGGTGGTGGTGGGCTGTGTGTGTGTGTGTGTGTGTGTGTGTGTGTGTGTGTGTGTGTGTGCGCGTGCGTGCGTGCGTGTGTTTTCTCCCTTGATTTGCTGGTGTGGGGTTCTTTGTTCCATGTCTTTTCT